ACTCAGCCAGAAGCCAGGCTCACGGCTGGCGAGTGTAGCCTCCGCGGCAGTCGGACATCCTCCGAGGGCTCCTGGACTGCGAGAGGTCACAGGCCCAGCTGAAGGACTCTCCCCCTCCCAGTGCACAAATTTCAGACACTGGGCCTCTAGTACACAAATTACCACAACACAAGGAAAAGTAATGTCCCTGAGTGTATGCCTGAAGTTCAGAAATAAGCCATACATCCCCCCACATGCCTCAGGAGTCAGTGATATTTGAGTTTGGTCTAAAGCAGTGGTTCTCAACCTTTTTGTGGCCATGCCCCACCTAAGCATCTCTAAAATCCTGATGCCCCCTCCCCCCCCCCTCCCCGTGACATATAATTGTTATTCAAAAAGTGACTCCTGTTTATGTGGAAGAAGCCTAAAACAAGCATCCAAAGAACATGGCATCCATGAAAGAGAAAAATAAAAGAACGAAAGGATAGTTGAAGTACTGAAGAAGAAATCACTAAGAAGTTCAAAAAAATAATGTGAAGTGATATGAAAAATAGCAGTTTCAAAACAATAGAGAACTGAAATGCATAAATATGTCACATTTATATACTGTATATGAGGCCCCTAGAACCATAAGAAATGCAAAAAATTCAGTTAATAACTCAAACTGCCCCTCTTAAAAATCAAATTGCCCCCCTGTGGGGCATGTGCCCCATGTTGGGAACTGCTGGTCTAAAGTGAGCATGACAGGTGAAGGAAGAGCATAGCATGAGATGAAAACACTTGCAGGATCACCTGTTGTCAGACCTCCAAAAATTTCAACTGGAAGGGGGGAGGTGGGAGAGGGGTGCTGCCTCTGACAACTGCTGGGGAGGGATGGGCCAGCCAGACACTGCCAGGATAGGTGTGAGGAGCCGTGTGTGGTTGGCAAAGTCAGAAAAAAAAAAGCTGGACTCAGGCAGTCTTGGGTTTGAATTCGGTCCCTGTCGCCACCAAGCTGGATGACCTTGGGCAAACTAACCTGAGCACCCAGTTTCTCATCTGTAAAATGGAAACCATTCTGGCTACCTTTCGGGGTGGTTTTGAGGATTACAGACGAGTGCCTGCCACACAGGTTAATAATGGGTGTTGTGTGTCCCAGGCCCTCGCTGTGGGACAGTACGCGAACTGACCGACCAGTCCGAATCCAAACCTCGGATCTGAGAGGGTAGGGAGGGCTCCCTGTGGCCTCCGCCCCCCAGGAGGCGGGGACAAGGTGGAGGATGGGCGGCAGGGGGAGGGGCTGGTGTGTCTCCACCCGCCCCGTCCTGTCCGGTCCAGCCTGGGCGCTGAGAGAACCGCTCTTCTAGCCGCCGCCACACCGGCAGCCGGTCCTGGTGTCCTGCGCCTGGCGCCGTGTGGAATCATGACCCTGCGCCCGCCGCGACTCCCGCTCTGTCTGCTGCCGCTGCTGCTGCTGCTCAGCGGGGCGGCGTCCCAGGCTGACACTGGGTTCGAAACCGAAAGTCCTGTCCGAGTCCTCCAAGTGGAGACCCTGGTGAGGAGATTGTCCCTGTCCGGTCCGCGGGGCAGGTCTGGAGCGCGAATACAGGAATACAGGTCGGAGACCTGCGAGCCGGGAGAAGTGCGGGGACTACTGAGTTGGGGGTGCGGGGACTACTGAGTTGGGGGGGTGGGGTCTAGGGGCAAGAACGGAATCTTTGGAGGACCCTCCATGACTCCTGTAGTCCGATCATAGGTGGAGCCCCCCGAGCCGTGTGCGGAGCCTGCAGCCTTTGGAGACACGCTTCACATACACTACACGGTGAGGGGTGTGGGGGGCCCAGGCGGAGCCTGGGAGGGGGCGGCGCCCAGATGAAACACGTCAGCTTTGGCTTGGACACGTGGCGAGTGGTTCGGGGAGTATAACTGGGCTCTGGGGTCTTCGAGCACGTGGCGGGTGGAGGGTGGGGGAACGTTCCTCTTCCTGCCCATTTCCCCTCCCTGCTTTCCCCCCAGTTCCTCCCGAGCACCGAGAAGTGAAGGGTGGAGAGATCTCCGAGCAGTGCCAGTCCTGAGGGGCTTCCTGTTCCTTTCTGCCCCGAAGGGAGTGCGAGGCTGCAGCTGCTAGGGGGCTGCGCCTGCTGGGAGGGAGGGCTACCAGGTGTGAGCTCCGGATGCTCTCTCCCCCCAGGGCAGCTTGGTAGATGGACGTGTTATTGACACTTCCCTGGCCAGAGACCCTCTGGTTATAGAACTCGGCCAAAAGCAGGTGATCCCAGGTATGTGGCCTGTGCCTCCCACTCATCCCAACCCAAGTGCTTTCTTCACCCTTTCAGTCCCTAAGCTCCCTTAGAAATGGCCCCTCCTGAGGTTCAAACCCCACTTCTAATATTCCTCCTGCCCCATACCCTACTAGAAGGGAGCCAGAGATTTGAGAAGCGGGGAGCTCAACTAAGGGTGAAGGGGGAACCATTGATCTCCTCTCCTGGGATTTTGGGAATGTAGGTAACTTCCTGTTCAGTTATGTCTTCTTCCTCAAGGTCTGGAGCAGAGCCTTCTAGACATGTGTGTAGGGTGAGTATCTGGGCAGAGAGGGGCTTGGGTACTCCCTTTGCATGGCTAGAAGCGTTCTCTGCTATCCCTGCTTCTAGAGGAGGCAGGGAAACATGGGACAAAGGACCCTGGCTTTGCCTCAGTCATTGGGACCCCTGAGGGCGTTCCAAGCCTCTGTGCCTCTCTGGCTGTGGGTTTTGTTGGAGCAGTTGAGGCATGTGGGGGGATGTATACCTTTGCTGGTCAACCTGTTTGGTATAAAGTGGGGGAAAAAGTCATCTTTTGGACATGAAAACCTAGAGCAGTGGTCGGCAAACTGCGGCCCCTTGAGTGTGGCTCTTCCACAAAATACCACGTGCGGGTGTGCACGTACAGTGCGATTGAAACTTCGTGGCCACACTCAAGGGGCCAAAGAGCCGCATGTGGCTCTCAAGCCGCAGTTTGCCGACCACTGACCTACAGGGTTTTGCTGGTGGGGCTTCAGATGGACTGAGGCTGCTGGCCCACCTGCTCCCACCCCTGGCTGTGACTTACATTCTTTCCCTCAGAGAGAAGCGAAGGGCAATCATTCCTTCTCACTTGGCCTATGGAAAACGGGGATTTCCACCATCTATCCCAGGTAACCTGACTAGAGCTCTCTTTCAAATCATCAAAATACCCTGTCTCTCAGAGCTATACAATTTGGAGCTTGAGAAGGTCTAAGTCAGCTTGCTAAAAGGGACAGCGGTGGCTGGGGCCCTCTTTTTTCCTGCTTAGATCACCATAGGGACTAGAGAACCTGTTAATGTCACCTGGTTTGCCCTCTGGCAGCCAGCAGCTTTTTAGAAAGGAGACACCTTCTTGTGCTACATGGGTCTGCTGCGCATGTCACCCTTCCTAGAACGTTGGACTAATTTCCTGTCTTTTTCCTACAATTACAAATGGTGTAATTTATGCAGTTGGCATGGCTTCTCGCTGCATCTCCACCCTTCCTCTCAGTCTTTACCAGGGAAGAGATAGGAAAAATGATCACAGTCAAGTAATTCAAAACAAAATGAAACAAAAAAACTTTTAAAAGCCAAGTCCACCTCATAACTTTAAAAGCCCTCTCAAGTCACTGTTGATTTTTATTCTTAAAGGCCTGGGATTGAACAGATTTCACAAGATGTGTGTCTCTTGCTTTTGGTTATAACACATGTTCTATTAGCTAAAATGTGTTATACTTCAGAGCACAGGGGTAAAAGTTATTATCCCAGTTCCAGCTTAGAGGGAGACCTAGAGAGAAGACAGGGTGACTAAAGAGAAATGAACTCTTACTCAAAGCTCTATTACCTTCTGCTTTCTAGTACTGCTTCTATCTACATTTCTCTCCCACTTCCCACTCATTCCCCCATATCTACTTTCTTAAGACACATCCTTCTTCCTCTCCAGCTCTTATGTTAGAACACCTATCTTTTCTAATAATTTCATTGAATATGCTCATTGGTTGGTGGAATTTAAAAGTCTAGTTTAAATTCAATTAATTTCAGCCCTGCAAAGATTGTGTCCTTGTGGCTGTTTGGAAATGGAGTACAGTTAGTATAGAGGTTTCTCTCACTCATAAATGTAGAACAGTGTGTACGTTTTAGACCCACAGGAAATTTTCCTGTGCTGTCAAAGACCCATCATGAAAACCAAGCCACATTTGTATATTTGGGGTAAACATGACTATCACTAGACTCTGCTCATAACCCATCTCTGCCTTGTCTAAGGGAACTCAACCCCACATTTAAATCTTGCCAGCTTCATAGTTGTTGCTCTGGTGTGGCCTGCCTTCCCTGTTTTCATTCATTCAGAGTCTCAGATAAACTGCACAGAGATCCTAACCCTCACCTCCTCTCTGCCTCCAGCGGATGCAGTGCTGCAGTTTGACGTGGAGCTGATTGCACTGATCCGAGCCAACTACTGGCAAAAGCTGATGAAGGGCACTTTGCCTCTGGTGGGCATGGCCATGGTGCCAGCCCTCCTGAGCCTCATTGGGTATCACCTATACAGAAAGGCCAGCAGACCTAAAGTCTCCAAAAAGAAGCTCAAGGAAGAGAAACGAAACAAGAGCAAAAAGAAATAATAAATAATAATTTTTAAAACTTCTTTGCATTCTTCAACTGATACTTTCTGAGGCTACTTTTGTAAGTGGGAATGAGGTGAGGGGGCTGGGGAAAAGGCATTCTGAGTTGGATCTTGTCTGTCATGGGGGAGGGGGTTAGAGGCTTTGAGTCACCTCTTCCCCTGGCCTCCTCTTCCTGTCCTAACTTACTTCAGGGACTTGTTCTTGAATTCCCTTCTGATTTTTAGGTCCCGGAGGTGTAGGTTTGGCTACCAGGGTGCCCTGACTCCAGGAGCAATGCTTCATTGAGAAATAAGCCTCCTAGTAGTTGCCTAGCTATTCTCTCCATGCCCTGGGGCTGCTTATTCCTGGTGTTGTCAAAGTGTACTGTTCTGTCCAATATGGCAAAGATATAAGAAGCTCATGAACTCTATGAGAATTTTTAATAGCAAAGTCCTCAGGTCTCTCAAAAAATTCTCTGGAGAATGAAAATAGATTTTTCTCCTTGTATCACAGGATATGGGAGATCACGTGGGCTGCCTCAATGATGTTGTAAGTGGTTGAACGTTTTTTGTCATCTGGCTGGGTTGTAGGTTTAGACAAGGCCTGGGGTAAGTTGCTTCGGTAGTTGACGATGAAGAGTGGGTTGAGCTGGCTCAGCACTTCATCACTCACTGAAATGCCATCCAAGTACCGCTTGAGCATCTCCCGCAGCTTCCCGTTGATCTCTAACAATTGGGTACGTCTTTGTTGAAGGCTCAGTTGCTCTAGTTTCACTTTGTTGTACCTTTTCCAGAAATTATCCATCCCTATGTAGTCTGCTATCACCTGGGAATTGATTTAAAGGGAGGTGTGTAGAGGGGGCCCATTAGTGAATACAGCCCAGGGTCCATCATCCCCAACCTTAAGCCAAGGCCTCTGGGCCCTGGGAACTTTACCTTTGCCAGCTCCTCAGTAAGCTCCTCTGGGATAATTTCCTCTATCTCCTCCTGCTCCTCCGGAGTCAATATTGAAGAATAAAAGGGCAGCACTTTTTCTGCCTCTGTTTCAAATTTCCTACATATTTCAGCAAGTTTAAGGATCTTTTCACCCTATTGAACGCAGGAAGACACCTTTTATTAGAAAAGAGGTGGGAAGGGGAATAGTGGAGTTGGTTCCCTGTTTGAACCAGGGAAGCTATTAATTTAAGTGGGAGACGAGTAATATACACATCTAACACAGAGTGCTTACTGTATGGCAAGTATTTGACATTCTTATAAAATCCATTCACTATTAATGCATTTAAGTTAAAATGTGAGGGGGAAGGGAACATGAAATAAAAAAGGTATTCCAAGTGTCCACTCAGGCAGGAAGCAGGAGGATGCCTCCTCTACCATTCTCAAACCCTTTTTACTTCACAGGGAGCCCAGTTCCTTGGTTTTGTTTGGACCACCCTCTCCCCTGTTACCTTATCAACAATCGCTCTCAGAACTTTGAGGGTGGCATTACTTTCCAGAGTGAGTTTGACTAAATTCTCCTGTGCTATTTCCCGGACATGAGTCCTTTGGGCCTTAAGTTTTCGTAGTTGTACAAGGACCAATTCCTTGTCATCACGAATGTACTGGTTCTGTTCTTCACTCTCACGGCTGTGCACCATGATCTTGCCTTTCAAAATAAGTATGGAATCCTGGAAGAACAAAGTAAATTAGAAGAAACACTTGACTGGCTGAGGGTCTTCAGGGAGACAGGTGAAAAGACTGGGGACAGAAATCAAAGCATATCTTTCCCCAACCAGTGATGAGGCCCAGTAGAAATTGGGGGAAGATGAACATGGGAGCAGTTAAAGCAGTGAGTATTTCTGGTTGGCTGCACTAACCTGTAGTTTCTGTATTCTTTTCATCTGTACTTCAATGTCTTTGGAGCTCTTCTCATCCTTCACTTTCAAAGTCTCAAAGGCAATCTTTCGATCCTCTGTGGCATCAGTGTAATTCTTAAGTGCATCCTGGAACCTTCTCCATAGATCTTCTACTACACTCTCTAGTTGCAGTCTTAGAAAGTGCTTCTCTTCTATATTCTAGGAAGTGGCCCCAACATAGCCAATGCTCAGAATTACCCTTTTAGTGCCCTTTCACTTCCACCAGCAACCTCACACTCTTGCACTGTTTATAGCATAGTATAGTGCAGCGTCGCCAATGAAAATGCCTACAAAGACCAGGCAGATGATATAAATAAGTGCTTTGGGCTAGATGGAGCCTGTGGTGAACCAGAGAGCAAACGCTCTTAGCAGGGGGAGTGGGGAAGGCACAGCTGCTCAGCTCCATGTGAGTGTCTCCATTTGGAAATATTGACCCAGGGTTACCAGACCTTCAGATTTTTCAAGGGAAGGTGAAAATTTGGGTTTTTATGTGAAATCCCCATTTTTTAAATTTGGGAACCTTATTTAAATGTTTTACAAAACAGTACAGGGCAAAATAAAAACAAAGAATCTCATACTCAAACCCAGGTCTGCAGGCTAGCTAAAGTTTGCGTCCTACAGGATGGTGGAAAGCACTTTGGCCAAGAGGCCAGAAACTGGATTCTCCTGGCTCTGCCACAAACCAGCAGCAGGACTTTGGCAGGTCATTCTACTTTACGGGGCTTTAGTTTCTTCATCTACAAATCTCATGGCTATGCACCATGATCTTACCTTTCAAAATAATTATGGAATCCTGCAAGAACAGAGTAGATTAGAAGAAACACTTGACTAGCTGAGGGTCTTCAGGGAGATAGGTAAAAAGACTGGGACGGAAATCAAAGCATATCTTTCCCAGGCGAAGCCAGATGGTTTCCTTGTTGCTTTTAAGCTTTAAAATGCATTTCCTTGATATTTCAGAATGATCCTCCCGCCCGACCAATTTTCAGAAAAGTACAAAAGGCAATAGGGGTACCTAGAGTGGCAACAGGCATTTTATTATGTTGGTTAAAGGGATCTCTTTGAGCTCTGCTAGCCTGGAGCATTTTTCTCTCCTCACCCAGCTCTTGCCCATTACTTCCCCTCTGTACCTTGTTTTTGAGATCATCCCACATGCTCTGGAACTCCAGCTTGCTTTCATACTCAGAATCTATGTAGTTCTGCTCCATGGCCATGAAGACATCTTGTAGGTAGCGAATCTCTTTTTCATGTTGTTCAATAATTGTCTTCCTACGGAAGATAACACACTGTCCCTGCTCTGAGGAATAAAGCAAATGGACCAATACTGACAACTCAAAGCAGTATGTAATAAAACTATATGAATGGTACAAACTCTTAGGTACTGAAGGAAAACAGAGGGAAGGAGGGATCTATTTCCTGTAGGGCTGAAAAGAATGAATAAGATTATTTTTATTTTTGAATAGGTTAATATATTCATGTGATATAAAAATTAAAAAGTGCAAAGGTTACAGTGAGAAGTCTCCTTCCCATTCCTGTCCCCTGCCAGATGGGTAGGATTTTGATAGTTGACAGTGGGTGACGAGATGTTACAAATAGGGACCTGGCACGGGCAAAGGAAGGCTAAGGCCACAAGCTTAAACCCACGTTAGTTTAGAAGGAAATCAGGATCTTTTCTGCTGGAAAGTAATGTCATCATCAAGGTGGGATGCTCCAGGATGCTGGCCACCTGCTTACAGACAGCTCCTTGACACAGGCTCTATATGCGCCCTTGGATTCAAACCCCCATACCTTTCTATCTCAAACTCCTTGGTTAGGGTCTCCAGCTCCATGCTGTAATTTTCCTCCAGGAGGTTGAGTCGGCATCTCTGCAAGGCCAACAGCTGGTCAATGTTGTGCATGTGGCTGCGCAGGGCATGGGCATACTGCTCATCAGCTTCTGACAGGTCCTTAGCTAAAGACTGGGTAGGAAACACAGAGTTACCATTTTGGCTCGATGACTTCTGTGTGAGAAAATTAAAGATGTATTCAGCTGGTTAGGTGGATGACTTTTCTTTGGATCAAAGAGTGCTGGTTCTCCCACTATTGAATTTAAAGTCAGAGTGACATCAGAGAACCCCATATAGCCAGCCAGTGTCCTAGGGACAACAAACATTTACAGTGATGGTGCTACCACTAAAAGGAATCGGATTCATAGAGAAATGGCTGCTTCGAAATCTGAGGCAAAAATAAACAAGTTGAACCTAGGGTATCTTGTCAGGGAAGAGAAGGAATCAAGCATTTGTCCTGCCTTTTTAATATATATATATATAATTGATTTCAGAGAGGGAGAGAGAAACATCAATAATGAAAATCATTGACCAGCTGCCTCCTGCATGCCCCCTACTGGATCAAGCTCGCAACCCAGGCATGTGCTCTGACCAGGTATTGAACCCTGATCTCCTGGTTCATAGTGGATGCTCAAGCACTGAACCACACCGGCCAGGCACCCAGGACATACTGTTAAATGAAAAAGTCAATGGGCAGAACAGTATGTAATACTACCATTTGTGTAAAATAATGTTTACTCATGAAACTAATGGGCATTGGGCAGCTGGAAGGCACCAGTGGGAAGGAATTTTCACTATGTAACTTTTTATCTTTTTAATTTTGGACAATGGAAATGTAGTACCCATTCAAAAAAGTAAAATGAGCTCTGGCTGGTGTGGTTCAGTTGGTTGGACATTGAATAGAAGTGTGGTGTTTCTTATCCCAAGAAAATAATTAAAGAAAACTTTGTGTCCTAAAAAAAAAGAAAGCAAAATGAAATTAGAGTAAATAGAACAAAGAAGCATTTACTGAGTTCCCATATGATCCAAACACCTTGAGTCCCACCACAACCTATGCAGAGCTAGCTTTCACCTTATGTTTACATGAAAAAGAATCTTATGAAATAGTTTCTGATAATGGATGACTATTCACTCACTCAACAAATGCTTATCCAGTACTATGCTGGATACTGAGGATTCCGAGACTAAAAGACATCCCCACTGCCCTCAAAGGAGCTTGCAGTCTTGAAGTAGGAAAAAAGTTATACAAACAGAACATTACTGTTTAACATGCTAAGTGATATGAAATTAATGATTTACCAGTGACACTGGGATATAAGGAACGGAGTACCTACATCTAACTAAGAACACTGGGGAAGGCTTCACAGAAGAGATGCCATTTGTATCACTCTTGAAGATGAGTCAGAGTTTGCCAGGAAAACTGAGGAGATGGGAAAAATTAAATTCCAGGTAGAGGAAATAGCATGTATAAAGGCACAGGTAAGAAACAAGGCTGGCTATGAAAGGTACAGGTAGAGGGTAGATCATGAAGGGCTTTGCTATTCTTTCCGTGGAGTACGGATTTTTTTTCCTGTAGAAGAGGGGAGCCACTGGAGAGACTTAAGCAGTGGAATGACAGGATCAGATTTTGTTTTAGAAAGATAATCTGGAGGTTCAGGTCAAGATGGTGGCATAGGTAAAAGCAATACTCAAATCCTCCTCCCACAACCACATCAAAACTACAATTAAACTTACAGAACAACTATCATTAAGAATCACCTGAAATCTAGCTGAACAGAAGTCCTATGAGGGGCAGAGCTGCTGAATGGGCTGATCCCACATCCACATGTAGAGAGATACCTTGGATGCAGAGGTCCCCCTGAGGCATGAGGGGTGCCAGCCCCACACTAAGTTCCCCAAACCAGGGTTCCAGTGCCAGGAAGAGAAGTCCCCATAACTTGTGATTATAAAAATCAGTGGGGATTGTGGATGAGTGAGACCGGGGCTTCTGGAGTCCTAGGCAGTTCCTCTTAAAGGTCCTACCCACAGACTTACTTGGACTCACTTCCTCTAAGCTCCAGTGCTGAGGCACCAGGGACATACAGGGAGGAACTAAATTGTCTGGCAAGGAATCGAGTTGTCTGACATTAAGGCAAGAGCTGGAGGAGCAGTTTTTTCCCAGACAGAAGTGTTGGCAGAGGCCATTGTTCTTTTTCTGGGCCCTTGCCCCACAGAGCCTGCAGGCTGGTGCCATATCTGAATCTCCATCAACCTGGCTAACACTGCTGGCCCTGCTCTGCTGATTCCCTGAGACCCCATCCCATTCATCTTGTTGGCCCAGTCCAAGCCATTTCCTGTGGCTTTTCCATACAAATGGCCTATGTTGGTAAATGCTTCAGACTTTTCTAAAATTTCTCAAACAAGCAGCATCTGGCCCTCGCCTGTTTGACTCAGTAGATAGAGTCGACCTGCAGACTGAAGGGTCCCAGGTTCGATTCCAGCCAACGGCACATGCCCAGGCTGGGGGCTCAATCCCCAGTCGGGGGTGTGCAGGAGGCAGCCGAGCAATGCTTCTCTCTCATCATTGATGTTTCTAACTCTCTCCCTTCTTCTCTGAAATCAATAAAAATATATATTTTTTAAAAAGACAAAAAATGGACACTAAAGAAACAATGATTGGCTATTAAAAAAACAAAACAAACAAGCAGCATCTGGCCTCAGCATGCCACATACCTTTCACTAAGTGACCCCAGGCCTGGCACTAGTGGCAGCCAGCCTTAATTCACAGCTTGGCCTCTGCTCGGCAAATCCAATTCCAGCACAAATAGCAGCCATCTACATATTGCTTTGTAGTTCATGAATAGTGGCCCCGGGCAGGACACAGGTGGCAGCTGACCTTGATCTGCACCTCCCAGGAGGCTCCAGAGCCAGTGCATTTGGTGGACAGCTTCAGACCAGGTCGAAGTACCACCCAAACTCCTCTACAAAGGATACATTCAAAGGGTGGACTCAGCAGTCACTAGAACCCTGTTGAAGTAAATCCTGCTCTGTGGGGTCAGCCCCTGCATAGCTGATCTTCCATGGTAGTTGCGATTAGTCTTCACAACCTATTAGCCTACGGGTAAATCCCTCCCACTGAGGTGCCAACAGCCATCAAGGCTCAACTACAACAGGAAGGTATACATAGCCCACATGGGGGGTGCACCTGGAGGGCCCAGCTCGGGTGACTGAGGAGGCTGTGACACTGTACCCTGCAGTACACCTACTACTCTACCAAGATAGGGAGATGTAGCAGCTCTACCTAATACATAGAAACAAACACAGGGAGGCAGCCAAATGAGACAAAGAAACATGTCCCAAATGAAAAAACAGAAAAAGACTCCAGATAAAGAACTAAATAAAATGGAGACAAGCAATCTACTAGATGCAGAGTTCAAACCACTGTTTATATTAAAATGCTAAATAAACTTAGGGGAAGAATAGATGAACTTAGTGAGAACTTCAATAAAGAGATAGGAAACATAAAAACATAGATGGAAAACATGAAAAAGAACCAGTCAGAAATAAAGAATACACTAACTGAAGTGAAGAATACAGGGAATCAAAGGTGAAATAGGTGAAGCGGAAGCAGAGGATCAAATTAGAGATTTGGAAGATAAGGAAGCAGAAAACATCCAATCAGAACAGCAAAAAGAAAAAGAATCCATAAAAATGAGGATAGTATAAGGAGCCTCTGGGACAACTTTAAGCATACAAACATTTGCATCATGGGGGTGCCAAAAGGAGAAGGGAGAGAACGAGGAATGAAAAACTATGTGAAAAAATAATGATGGAAAACTTCCTAACCTTTCTTTCCTTAGGGAAAGAAATAGACATACAAGTCCAGGAAGCACAGAGAGTCCCAAATAAGAGGCCTACACCAAGACACATCATAATTAAAATGCCAAAGGTTAAAGACAAAGAGAGAATCATTTTTTAAAAAATATATTTTATTGATTTTTTACAGAGAGGAAGGGAGAAGAATAGAGAGTCAGAAACATCGATGAAAGAGAAACATCGCCGAAACCGGTTTGGCTCAGTGGATAGAGCGTCAGCCTGCGGACTGAGAGGTCCCGGGTTCGATTCCGGTCAAGGGCATGTACCTGGGTTGCGGGCACATCCCCGGTGGGGGATGTGCAAGAGGCAGCTGATCGATGTTTCTCTCTCATCGATGTTTCTAACTCTATCTCTCTCCTTTCCTCTCTGTGAAAAATCAATAAAATATATTAAAAAAAAAAAAAAGAGAGAGAGAGAAACATCGATCAGCTGCCTCCTGCATACCCCCTACTGGAGATGTGCCCGCAACCAAGGTACATGCCCTTGACCAGAATCGAACCTGGGACCCTTCAGTCCACAGGCCGAGGCTCTATCCACTGAGCCAAACCAGTTAGGGCGAGAGGATCATTTTAAAATATATTTTTATTGATTTCAGAGAGGAAGGGAAAAGGAGAGAGAGAAACATCAATGATGAGAGAGAATCATTGATCAGCTGTTTCCTGCATGCCCCTAAGCCCGGCCAGCAGGGTAGAGTGGTTGAGCATTGACCTATGAACCAGGAGGTCGCAGTTTGATTCCCAGTCAAGGCACATGCCTGGGTTGCGGGCTAGATCCCCAGTGTGGGGCGTGCAGGAAGCAACTGATCAATGATTCTCTTTTCTATCTCTCTCTCCCTTCTCTGAAATAAATTAAATAGATAGATAGATAGATAGATAGATAGATAGATAGATAGATAGGAAAGCCTAAGGGGAAGGAACCAGTGGGCAGAGATTAAAATAGAATGAAAAAAGCGATACAGCAAAATTTCTTGGCAAAAAAGATGGTAAGGCCCAGTGTGGCTCAGTTGGTTGAGTGTTGTCCCCTGTACCTGAGAGATCACTGGTTTGATTCCCAGTCAGGGCACACACTGGGTTGGGGGAGCGGGGGGGCGGAGTTCAGGAGGCAGCCAATCAATGTCTCTTTCTCATGGATGTTTCTCTTTCTCTCTCCCTCTCCCTTCTTTTCTCTCGAAAATCAATAAAAACTTTTTTTTTTTTTTTTTTTTAAAGATGGTATGGATACAAGAACCTCCCAATAGCATAAGGATGACTGCCTGAATTTCTTGGAGATCCAGAACTGCTCTTACCCACTGAGATCTTCTCAGCCTTATCCAGGGCTACTGAAGTTGAATCAAAGAGGCAAACAGAATTTGGTTGAATAAAGCACTAGAGTAGGAATCAAGAAACCTGTGCTGAGTCCCAGCTCTCTCATCGACTGGCTGAGTGACCTTGGGTGAGCCATTTCCTCCCTCTGGAACTGAGTAGTCTCACATTGAAATGAAGATGTAGGACTAAGTTCAAGTCCTGGGGTGATGTCTACTGTGCCTCATAACTCTAATATTGTATAGTACTAGTTTGGGGCAGTAGATGACTAAAAGCAAGGGCTCCTCTAAGTGAGGGAGAGGGATGACCACCTCACAATAGTCTCCTCTTCATCTCAGTGAAAGTTGTTATTACCAATAGCCTAGTTTCATCACAGCCTGCTGCTTGTGAGGGCGTGAAGATTGAATAATTACTTTTCTTGGCCCATTCTACTAAGAGAAGAGATCAAGGCAGCCATGTTCAAGTATTTCCTTGGGAAGAACACCTACCTTGATAACACTGTCCTTGCAGTCTACCACTCGTTCAAATGTTTGGCTGAGGATCTCAATGTCCTTATGAAGCTCTTTGGTCTTGACTTCTCGAAGAACAGTTCTCCACTGTGTGTTAATCTTATTAAGGTTCAGAGCACTATTGTGCTCCTCCTTGGCCAGCTTGTCCTGTGTGAAGGAATAAACACACCTGAAGGAGGTCAGGGTTAAAAGCCCTAATACAGCACAACAAACAAGATTGCACTTAGTTTGCCAACTGTCACTTTTACCCTTTGTCTTTTCCGAGGGACCAAAGCTCCTAATGGCTAACACTCAGGTAACTCCTGTTCTTGTTTTGGGAGCATCTCAAGTAAGACGGGAACGGCCAGATGGCATTTTAAGGAGGGGAAGGGTGAATTTCCTTTAGGATGGAGGCCTCAGGGCAGGACACTCCAGGGAGACTATCAGAGTTTCGAACAGTTGGGATGGCTGAGAACACCTACTGTCCCAGTTCTGGGACTCAGTTGTGACTGCCAAGCACTATACCACCGCCCCTCCTTCCAAACACTGTTGCCTGAAATCTAAGTATATTTAGGTCTCAAGATTTCCGGAGGAGGGAGGCCAGCATACAAATGACGCTGCCACAATGGCAGGGTTAAGGCAGCAGGGTCAGCGCAGGGAGGGGGTGGGCTGGGCGGGTAATGAGGAAGCATCACCTTCAGGAACACGCTCAGGAGCCGCTCCTTCCTCCTAGCCACCTCCTCATCTGCCAGCAACCTCTGCTGGAACAGCAGCAGCTGCTCCTCATCCGAAAGGGGCGTCTTGGCCTTTTTCCCTTTCTTAGACATAGCAGGCTAGAGGGCTGGATCTGGCAAGGATCCCGGGCCGCCGCGGCCAGCGTTAGCGGGGGGAGAAGGAAAATGCCCCCAGGAAGAGGCCTTCTGCAACTGCCCCTGGACGGTAGTGAGACCGTAGACTTTAGTCCTCAGGTAAAACAGAGCCTGGGACAGCTGGGAGGCCCGGCTCTCAAGCCGAAAGACGCATCGCCGTCTCCTAGCAACGGAATCTTGCTAAAATGGCGCTGGGAGGCGCGGAAGAGAGGCCCTGCCTTGGGGCGCCCTCTGCCGCCTGGAGGACCGCAGTGAGGGTTTTTTTGTTTTGTTTTGAAAGGATAGTTGTTGTTTTTTAATATGTTTTATTGATTTTCTACAGAGAGGAAGGGAGAGGGATAGAAAGCCAGAAACATCGATGAGAGAGAAACACCGATCAGCCGCCTCCTGCACGCCCCCCATTGGGGATGTGCCCGCAACCAAGGCACATGCCCTTGACCGGAATCGAACCCAGGACCCCTGAGTCCGCAGGCCAACGCTCTATCCACTGAGCCAAACCGGTTCTGGCTGAAAGAGGATAGTTTTATCCTCAAAATCGATAGCCTCCCAACTGAACCTTTTAAGATATTTTTTTTTTTCATGGTATGGCAATATTTTAAAATACAGATAACAGCCCTAACCTGTTTGGCTCAGTGGATAGAGCGTCGGCCTGCGGACTGAAGGGTCTCAGGTTTGATTCCGGTCAAGGGCAAGGGCATGTACCTTGGTTGCGGGCACATACCCAGTAGAGGGTGTGCAGGAGGCAGCTGATCGATGTTTCTCTCTCATTGATATTTCTAACTCTCTATCCCTCTTTCTTCCTCTCTGTAAAAAATCAATAAAATATATATTTTAAAAAAATAAAAATGAAATACAGATAACAAATTTTGGAGATAATATGGAGAACCAGGAACCCTCATGCATTGCTGGTGGGATTGTAAAATGTTGCAACCACTTTGGACAACAGTTTGGCAGTTTCTTTTCTCTTTCTTTCCTTCCTTCCATCTAATTGTTTTTACTGAACAATTTATGGATCAGGTAGCATCCCATCTAGTAAACAGAATGTTGCTCTAGCAGTTTCTTACATTTTTAAACATAAATTTATCATGCAATATAGCTATTTTGCTTTTAGATATCAGTCTAAGATATCTAACTACAGATGCATGCTACAATATGAATAAATCTCAAAAACATGCTCATTGAAAGAAGCCAGACACAAGAAACCACATATTGGCAGGGGCTTTTATATGAAATATCCAGAAAAGGCAGAAGCATTGTGTCAGAGAAGGCAAATATGTATCCAGAGTAAATTTTTATTTCAGTAAGAACAAAACACTGCCCTTCCATGATGGAAGTGATCCAATTTAGTCAACCTGTTCACCCATGGTACCATGTAGGGGGACCTAGTGTTGGTCTCTGGCAGATCGGGCACTCAATAATTCCCATAGCCAGGTTGGCCTTGGTGAGTGAAAGTTCATGTGTCTGAATTCATGCAAAACCTCCATCCCTGCCATGATGGCTGCTTTGTTTATAAATCCATTGGTCAATGACAGGGTGTCTGGGAACAGAGACTGACTGATATCCACAGATGAGGTCATCCTATCCACTTGATTATTTATTTATTTAAATAATTTTTATTTCTTGAAGTATTACAAAGAGTATTACGTATGTCTTCTTTCTCCCCCTCCCCCCCGCCACTTGATTATTAAATCCTCCTCTGCTGAGGTCACTCTGTGTGCATTCACATGGGACACAAATACTTTTACTTTTTTTTTTTTTGCCTATTTAGTCAGGTCTATCCACATACCTCTTCTCCAAATTTCCTTGACACCAGTTTTCTAACCATGTTCCTTCCAAGTCCCTGACCATTCATGCCACAGCCATGAGTTAGTATATATAGTCACACATCTGGCCTTTGCTCCTTCTAAACAAAGTGAACAACCAGGTACACTGCTGAAAGTTCTGCCCACTGGGAAGACTTCCCTTCACAACAACCTTCAGGGATGTCTCAGAAAAGGGCTATCGTACTGTGGCTGTTCACTTTTGGGCGGTGCCTGATATCGTGAAGAACCATTTATAAACCTGCTTCTCCTCTTCCTCTGTCACTGACTATAGGAAATCCTCCTGAGGCTATAGGTGTACGGTATGTTGGGAGAGAGGGGCCCTGGGCATTTGGGCTACTTCTTCAAGTAACTTAATTGTGCCTTCAGGGCCTACTTGGCGCCATCTTGTATATACCACATACATTTGATGACGGAGTGCTGCTGTGCATGCCCAACTTTATGGCGCGGTGGGTCAAATAACACCCTGTTCATGATGGAGAGCTCAGGTCACATAGAAACTTGGTGACCTGAGCTCTCCATGGTGGCCTATGGTTAAGCATTCAGTCTCTACTAAGACCCAGTTAGTAGGCCAAGAGCTGTTTCTCAAAATAAGTGTTTTGTAGTTATCTGCAAAGGATAGTAGGGGGCTTTGCTCCAAAATTCTAAGGGCGTGGACTGTGATTCACTGATAGGGGCCTGCCGAAGGCTCCAAATAGCATCTCACTCTGCCACAGCTATTTCAAGCACCATTGAATCTTCTGAATCATGTGGCCCAAGCAGCAAAGCAACTTGCACAGCACCCTGACCTGTTGCAGAGCCTTCTCTTGTTCTGGGACCCACCCTAAACTAGCAGCTTTTCGGGTCACTTGGTAAATAGGCCAAAGTAGCATACCCATATGAGGAATATGTTCCCTCCAAAATTCAAAGAGGCCCGGTAAGGTGTTATGTCTCTTTTTTGGTTGTAGGAGGGGCCAGAGGCAACAACTTATCCTTCACTTTAGAAGGAATATCTTAGCATGCCCCCACATCACTGGTTTCTAGCCATAAAATTTGGCTATTTGGCTAGGTCAGCTTTAATAGAGGGTGTTGGCCCCCCATAGCCAGGGTGTCTTTCCTGGAATCCAATGCATGGCAATGGGCCTACAGGCACCCTCTGGTGCCACAACAGAAGCACCCCTCCCAACCCCCCCATGGAATCTGAAAGAGTTGGGGGCATGCCTGAGGGCTACTGAGCACATCTTAAGCAGAACAAAGGAGTACACATTGAGCAAGAAACAGAGAAAGGTATTCCCACACAAGGTGATAAGCTCAGCACACACTGTGTGGGCTTTTTATCCCAGGTCCACGGTCCATTCCTACATGGCTGAGCAGGAGTGAAAGACTGGACATTAGCCTGCCTTTTCCAGCACAAGTTTTCCAACAGGTAATCCAAGATCCCTGTGAACTAAATTATGACATAGGGCTGCATAGTTGATACACCTGAGGTAGGCTAGTGACAGTGTATTCCTCGCCTTGCCAGCTGAAAGCAAACTACTTCTGATGGTTCTTATTGACAGGGATGGAGAAAAAGGCATTTGTGAGATCAATAGCTGCATGCCATGTACTAAAGGACTTGTGAATTTGCTCAAGTAATGAAACAACATCTGGCATAGCAGCTGCAATTGGAGTCACCTCCTGGTTAAGTTTACAATAATCCACTGTCATTCTCCAAGATCCATCTGTCTTCTACACAGGCCAAATAGGTGAGTTGAGTGGGTGTCACTGGAAAAAGACCAGATTATCCTATGAGATTACTCTCCATAGAACTTCTTTATTTACAAAAATATGCTTTTATTGATTTCAGTGAGGAAAGTAGAAGGAGAGAGAGATAAAAACATTAATTATGAGAATCATTAATCAGCTGTCTCCTGCATGCCCCAAACTGGATATTGAGCCCACAACCCAACCTGGGCATGTGTCCTGACTGGGAATCCAACCCTGACCTCCTGGTTCATTGGTCGATGCTCAACCACTGAGCCACGCCAGCCGGGCCCAAGTTTCACTCTCACATCAATGTTTCTCTCTCTAACCCTTTCCCTTCCTCTCGCTCTCTAAAAATCAATTAAAAATCTTTAAAAAATTAATCTACATACCATAACATTTATGCCTTTCCTTTTTACCTTTTAAATTATGTTTTGCTTGTTTTTAACCAACAGGATATTTAGACATTTAATGTAGTCACATGTATCAGTATTTCTCTTTAGGCTTACTGTTTCTTTGTTGTACACTGTTTAAGAAGTCTTTTCCTATCCTACCTGGGATCCAACCCGAAATCCAGGCATGTGCCCTGACGGGGAATCGAACTGGTAACCTTTTGGTGCTCTGGGCTCATTGGATTCTTATAATAACACTGCAAAGTGCTGTTGTTACTTTTATTTTACAGATGGGAAGTGATGCTTGTAGGAGTTAAGTAACTCACTCAAGGTTATACAGCTACTGAGGGACAGCTGATGGAGAGGGGTTATTAGTTTAGACTGACCAGTGGCCCAGGAGAGGACTGCATTTTTGGCCTTCCAAGGAAGCTGCCCGTCTTCACAGGGTACAAGCTATTCCAATAATGCTTATAAAGCAATCCTTCCGGACCCTGACATGCCTCTCTCTCTCCCTCTTTCTCTCTTTCTCCATAATTTCTGTGAAGGTTTTCTCCTTTGCCCTTCCTATGCACCCCACCCTGAAATCCAGACTCTTCTCATAGCTTCACAAATCAGCTCTGGGATGGATGCAGAGGCTCTTGTTTCCATGGTGATGTGGAGAGGCTGGTACACCACACACCAAGTGTAGGCGATGCAAAGAACTGGCCAAGCATCCAAAGGTGTCGGCAGTGGCCAGGCTCCAGGAAAAGAGATCGATGAGAAAGCCAAGTCTGAGTGACTGGACTTCCCTCAAGCTCCAGAGGAACCTCCACCCCCACCACGCCCCCTGCCCTCCCCAAACTCCTAATTTGGGAGTAGAAGATAGGAACCCTAGACGGAGAGGGCTCCAAAGCAGAAGCTACTGCCCCTGACTAGTTTAAAGACAAAGCCTAATCTTGACAGGAAAGACTGCCCAGTGGGGGGCTGCCCCCTTCCCTGGCCCCCTGCCTTGCCTCCTTCTCTCCGCTGCTCTGACCTCATTCTTGGGCCACCTGGCTCTCCGCCAGGGCGCTGGAGGGGAGCAGGGAGCCGGCAGGGGGCAGAGTCTCCCTCATTCAAAGCTTCTGCAGATTCCTTCCTCAGCTCCTGCCACCCCTGCTTTCCCCAGGATTATTTTCAGCTGACAGGCTGCAAAGGCGCAGTAGGTGGATCTCAGGACAGGATTTGGGTTCTGGCAGCGGCTG